TTTAGTTCCATTTTTTCATATTTGCCCAGAAAGGAAGCATGTAGTTCCATTTTTTCATATTTGCCCAGAAAGGAAGCATGTAGTTCCATTTTTTCATATTTGCCCAGAAAGGAAGCAGTGAGGATGAGTATTCTATCCCATCGATGGAAAAATATCTGGACTGGTATTTCAGCTCTTGAATGGTGGCCGTGTCTTGAAGCATGTTGCGAGATTCAAGCTTGTGTTTTACCCTGGAAAGTTCAAAGACCATGTCTGTAGGTGTCTACAATTCTTACAAAAGAGTGGGGTACAAGTGCTTGATCTTGATTTCAGAGGGGAATCTCAAGAGGAGGATATAATTGTTATGATACCATTTCTTTGTTATTGGTATTGAATCTTAAAAATTGCTCCATAGGCCTTCCTTTCGACTTTGAAGGCTAAATCTTTGAGGACTTTCTCTCTGGTATTCATATCAATGGGGATCAACTTTCCGTTTTGGTTTCCAAATGTGCTTGACTTTAGGTTGCTGCAAGGACATCAAAAACATCAAGATTTTGGGTCCTCATACCCAGCTTCAGAGCTTGAAGATAGATGAATGTTAGTTCCAATAATGAAAATGAATAAATAAATACATATAATCGATAAACAGTTTACTCGGATCTATCCTTAAATAACACTAGGGACTTAAAGTTTCGTACCAAAACCTATAGACCAAGCCATCCGGTGATAGACAACCTTGAGAGACCTCTTGGTGAAGCTCTTTCACCTATTTTCCATCATTCTCTCTCCCTCTTTTAATTGAGGGGTTAACCTCTTTTTATGGAAAACCATATTTTGTAAATCTCAAGTTTATAGAAATTGATAACCAAGTATAACTCATACCTTAATTCCCTTAAGTACAGCCAATTAGGATTAACAAGTTATCACCAAACTCTTATTCCTATATAATGAGCTAAACATGTCATTAATGCATTAATGACTCACATAATAAGATGTCATCCAAGCATTCTTACAATTTGATAAAAGATATTTAGAAATTAAATAATTTTGTACATCTATAATATAGAAAAAAAGAAACAATTCTTACAAAGAATCCAAACACATCATTCGGTTTTCCCTCCAGCCCAACATCTTATAAAAGTTCCAAAATGGATCCTAATATATGACATGACCTCATGTCAAACACATAGGATTTCACATACACTATACAATATGGCTTTTGTACCATTATTCACATGGGATTTCATATATACTATATAATATGGCTTTTGTAACATTGTTGAAAAATAAATTCCCGGGATAAAAGGGCCTAATAGGCTAGTAACTTTAGGAGATCTTGAGATTGATGCTCCAAATTTGTTTTCTTTTGATTTTACTGGATGGGTGTCTGGGTCTACTGAGCACCAAGACGCTCTTCTCTTCAGATGGGCAGCCTGAAACATGGGACCGTGAAATAGCTATGAATCTTAGCAAGCTAGTTCATATCGAGTCTTTGTGTTTGCTTGGATTTTCTTTTCAAGGTAAATTGATGCAGAGTCTTTTCCTTGACGAAATCTAGCCTAGGTTTTCTCATAAACTTGTTAAATGGTGTTCTCAATTTGGGATATGTGCTATAATCCAACCATAATCCGTTTAGTCATCATCATCCATTTCATTGATAGAGGGTAGAAAAGACCAGACCAAGAGATGACCCCCTAATGTGTGTACCGTTCCCTTTCTATCACCATCCATCACTTCAGCGGATGACAGTGAACCAGTGGACTGTGCTCTCTTTGTTGTCCATGAAAATGAAATTTATTTTGATGTAAGATGTCACTAGTCATTCTTCTACTTCTATTTCTTCAGCGCACACCTTGAAAGTAAATGTCATGAAAATATCTGAGATTGCAGCCTTGGATGTTGGCATCATTTAGAAGAAATCGTTTTGTGGGTGGGTATTCTACAATCATAAATTGCTCTACTCTCTTTTCATTCTTTTTTTTGAATTTTTTGCAAGCTAACTTTATTTTTCATTTATCTTTTTCGCTTATTTTGATTCCACTAGGTCGGCTAAGTCTGCACTTTTGGGACGACAAACCACCTTCGTATTGTATAGGAGATTACCTTAAAACTGTGGTGATAAAAAACTTCTCAGGATTGGAGGGTGAGGAAGCATTCGTAAGATTATTGCTCATATTTGCCATGGAGCTTAAGAAGATCATTGTCAGTTGCTACTAGAGCGTGCGCTTGGAGAGGAGGGTGCAAACAGCTCTCGAGAATTTGTGACAACTAGTGACGGGTGTCGAGATGGTTGTTTATTTTGTTTCTACCCTATAACTACATGAGGATGACTATTCGACTCAAGACGGACTAGATGACTGATAACAGCTGAGTATTATGACTGTGACTTCGGTGACGGCTATTTCGAGTATGACACCTTTGAAATTAAAGGTTATTTTTATGACCACAAAATGATCTTAAATCTTATGTTGCACTAAGTGTGCCAAGTCTTGGTTTGAGTTTGATCCTTCAATTCTTCTGTTGCAGTAAGTGCTTTCTTTTTAGGCAAGTTGATACCAATTCCAGTTTGATTTTGCATCTGGTCTTTAAACTATTGTCCATTGATATAATGTAGATATCTGGATATTGTTCGTCTGCATCTAAAGAATCAATGTAGGGTTTGAGGAATGCGTTGTTTTGCAATGTAGTGTCATACTTCAGCTAGAATCTAAGAATGGTATATCTCTTTTCTAAGTTGGAATGGTTAATTCAGTATTTGTTCTATTTTCAGGGAGATTTTGGTGGTTTTTTGTTTGGTATGCTGTTTGACAATTATAGGCCGTAAATAAAAGGATTTGTGACTAGTCATGACATCTATTCTATATTTTTCCGGTATTAAAATTTTGCATTGCTATCTTAACATTTTAGTTTTCTAGTTTTAATTTGGAATTGCTTTCTAGCAGCGGTCATAGTTAACCACACCTCAAGGCCCTACTTTAGAGACGAACCAAGGACCCAAAACTCAAAACAGTTCTCAGCATGGACCATAGTCATTAAGACTGGAGGGCTATGATGGTTTGACTGTTACTAATGCCTTGGTTAATTTAGTTCAAAATAAAAATTAAGTTTGACAAAACACTTATCAAAAATCATTATTTGACTGATTTGGGTTGGCTTGACTAGTCGGTTTCGAATGATTTCACTATCCAAACAAAACAATGCTACTTGTATATGCTCATATATATATATATATATATATATATATATATATAATATGGGGGAAAGATCCTTTCAGCCCAATGGCGTACTGCCACAGTAAACACCAACGGCCCAAATTGAATTTGGGCCGATCTGACGATCTTGGATGTCCAATAGTGTATGAATTTTAATTTTTTTTCTAAAAATCGAAATAATTTGAAATTTGGAAATTATGTACATAAAAAATAGGTGAATATTTTAAAAATATAAAAAAATATTTTACATGAAAAAATTGACCAAAATACCCCTGTAAAAATTCGAGGATATTTTGGCCATTTTGTTTTTTTTACGAATTATTATTATTATTTTTATATTTTTATTAGGTACGTCTTGATATGAAGTACATACACCTAAAATTTCAAGTGATTTGGACTTATAAAAAAAAATTAAAATTCAAACACGAAAAGAGGTCGTGACAAGTTAGATCGGCCCAGATTCAATCTGGGCCATTGTCGTTTACTGTAGCGGTCAGCTAGTGGGCGTATTGAATCCACTCCCTATATATATATATATATATATATATATATATGTGTGTGTGTGTGTGTGTGTGTGTGTGTGTGTGTGTGTGTGTGTGTG